CCCCCCCCCCTCCCCACATGCCCTCCCACAGGGCAGGGGCTGTTCCACAATCCCGCCCCATGATCCTGGCCTTGCCCAACCATCTCACTCCTGAACACTGCTCCTCACTCACCTGGGGCCCCATTCCACATAGGAAGTTTTAGTGTGCTCTTGAGTTTAGTGAGTTGTTGAGGCAGGGTAAGGGATGGCGGGGATGGGGGGAAAGCGGATGACCTGGCTGGCAACAACTCAAACTCCCTCTGTAGTCCCTGGGCTCAAATACTTGCCCACCCCTGTACTAGCCCCTTTTTAAAAAATTGGCAGCGGTTTGTAAACATTCATTTCCCTTAAACCTATGCTGTATTTATTCTTGAGCTTGTGTATTTTTGAGATAAGCTTACCTGGTGCCTCTCTTCCTTCAAGAGCTATGAATGAAAGGGAACAAAACAAGTTGAAAAAAATCAAATGAAACCCTCATATGAGTAACACCACCTATTTTTTAAAGAAAAAAAAATACAATTCCAAACTCTGAATATTTGAATACAAACATAGGTGTGAACATTGCCACTCACCTTTCTATGTAACTGGCTTCAATATTCAATATTCCCTACCTGTTTGCAAAGGTGGATTCAAAACTAACACTTGTGACTAGTCCTATCTTCAGTTACACTGAGAGAAGAAGAATTTTATAGAGAAAAAATCTGGTGAAAAAGGGATATTTTAGGATTTGTTTCTTTACAGCACCATATTTTTATAGAGAAGTCAAACTGATAGTCCTGATAATTAAGGCAGATACCGTTTTCTAAAAACTCTGAATTCCATGGATTCCCCTGAAATTAGGTGTGCTGTATGGCAGTGCTAGTTAATGTAGAGTTACAGATCTGGGGACATTTGAAATATGAATTCCCCTGGATTACACTGTTCATATGGGCTGCGAAGCCAAAAAACTTTCTAGCTTGCCAGTGTTCACCGCCTCAGGAGATCATATGGTACCTCTTGACCATGACCCACAGGAAGCCAGAGTAAAGAGAAGAAAAGGCATCTTGCAAAGGTGAACCTTTATCAAAGACATTTTCTATTTTATGGCCACATAAGTGGAATAAAGCAAAACAAGCAGACAGTGCCCAATCTGTTTTTTTGCAAAAGTATGTCACATGCTTTCCATGAGAGAATGGAAAGAATAAAGCCAAAAGGGAGCGTTAGAGTGAGGGAAATTGGGAGCATGATAAAGAAAGGATATTGAGAAATGGACTATGAAGCCAAGTTAGTGGGTATGGGGGTTGGGATTAGGAAAGCGGGTACAGACAGGGGGAGTGGAAGAGGAAGGAAGATATAAAACAGGAGAAGAGGTGGCATAGGGATGATCCACTGGCACCCTTCTGCTGTGGGTATGCCAGGACCTGGGGATTAATGTCTCTCTTGGACTGTTGAGTTCCTCTCCTGCCACCAAGTTTCTCCTAAGACCTTAGGATGAAATGCCCCTTTCTTTAGTCACATGGTGAAAATATGCCTTCAAGTTCAGGAGGATTATTGCATAGCTACAGAAAACAGTTATGGGGGAAGATGGGCATAGGGTATTAGATAACACACCCAAATGATGCAGGGGGCATATTGCTTCCCACAATTTCTTTGTAATCATCTTTCAGCCATAACTCATACTACTATTCCCATGAAGCACATGAGGTATAGGAATGTGAGTAGAAGCACCTGAGCAGATGACACTGGCATCTTCCTGAGGACCACAGTTATGGGTGCCCCACCCATTGTGAGAGCACTGCCACAAAACAGATTCATTCCCACTGCACTTCACATCATCCAGGAGGACATGTCCAGAGCTGTGGCCATAGCTGGCATTTCCTGGGGCTGCAATGGCCTGACCACATCCAAGCTGGCTGCATACGACCTGCGCATCATTCATGTCCCATGAATCATTGCAGACCATGCCCCAGTGCCCTTCATAATAAATTTCAATGCACCCTTCACACCTACTGCTTCCATTCTTCAGCCTCAGTGATATGCCTATGTAAAAAAAGAGTATTTTCTGCCCGCATGTGTTTGGTTTTTTTATATTAGCTAGTAAGAGCTGTTTAAGAAAGTATTATGTCCTCTCCATTCACTAGCCTCAGAGATGCATCTGGGGAAAGCACAGGATAGAGCATTTGCATTGTTAATATATTCATGTTGTTTTCAATCTGAAGAGACTTTCAGAATGTAGGAAGAGCCTGCACACTGCCTGGATGGAGCAGATTCTCCCCTGAATTCCTAGGTTAATGCCAAATATCTAAAGATACAGGACTTTTCTAGGATACATCCCATGGGGTAACAAAGGAACTCTCTTGGACTGGTAACATTCAATAAGAACAAGTGCAAAGGAGTAAGTGTAGGAAGGAAAAATCAGATGCACAAGTACAAAATGGGGAATAATTTCAGTAGCTGTTGTATTCAGGACATTCTTGGTCTTTACTTCAGTGGTAGAGGACTACATTTTTAGTGTAGTTCTGGTGGTTGAGTAGTGGGGGTGTGCAAAATGTGCTTTTTTTGCTTCAGATTTGGATGTGGATTAGGCCCGAATCAGGGATGGTGATTCGATTAGTTGATTCAGATCACTGTCCTGATTCAGTTTGGCCAAATCTGAATCTGAATATTCGATGCTGATTCGGAGAATTGGCGATTCGGCCATAGACGCAGCTTTAAATGTTTTTTCTACATACCTTGAGGTACCAGGCAAAGCTCGTGAATGATGCAATGCTGGGGTGGATGGAGCACCCCACAGGAGCACGGGTGGGGGGGCTCGCTTGCTAGGCAGTGATCCAGGAAGTGGACCGGAAGTAGTTCCGGTCCACTTCTGGGTCTGCCAGGGAGCACACTGGGGGGCTCTCCTGCACCCCTGTGGCTCAGTGATCAGCCGCAGGGAGACCCTGGGTGTGCCCCCAGACCCAGGAGGCACCAGTCGCGGATCCAAGGGCTGTGGGGGGGCCCCCCAGCACACCCCCCAGTGGACCCGGATGTGGACTGGAAGTCCTTCTGGTCCACTTCTGGGTTCACCACTGAGCACTCCTGGGGCCCCTCTGCACTCTTGTGGGATGCTCCATCTGCCCCACCATTGCAGCATTGACGAGCCGCCTGGTACCCTGAAGTATGTAGAAAAAACATTTAAAGCTGTGTCTATGTCTGAATCGCTAAATCTCTCCGGATCTATTTGAAGAGATTAAAAGGTCTCTTGATTCGATTCGGATTCAGAGATTCAGCCACCAAATTGGGCCGAATCTCCACCGTATCGAATCAGAGACTGAAGCTTCATGCAGCCCTACTGAGTAGCATAAACCACCATAACAGGCAAGCATATATTTATTTTCCATGCAAGTGGAAACTGAGCTAAAGATTCATGGGATGGCATGGCTTCAGAAACAAGGAGACTGAGAACAGTGGTACAAACCCGACCACTAGAAAAGTCTTGGAAATTGGTCCAGACAAGATGTTAGTAAAAGGGCATTGTAAAGTGCAAAAGGTAGCAAAAAGTATATTGTAAAGTGTACGCTAAAGATAATTCAAAATCTGACTTACTTGCTGCTACACGTATTGTTCTTCCAGGATCTGTTAAAGTGGAAAACACAGAAACAATTCTCATCACAGTACATAGACACTAAAATTACATTAAGAAATAGCAACATTTGATATGGGAAATAATACAGCTACCAAGGAAAGATACTCAGCAGGGATCATGTTATCACTAAACAATTGTGCCTTTATGTACTTATACCTTAGTGATAAACATGGTTTGTGTTTCAATCACTTTGAATTCAGTAATCTGGAACATATAACTTCGCAGAATACGTTTCACACTATACTCAAGGATAATACTCAAGGATATCATATTAATCCAGCATCTGACAAAAATTGAAGTTACAGATAAGTATTCTGCCTAACTTCTATGCTGACTTGGTTCCAGAAAAAAATGTGACAACCGGATTTATCTACCTCCATACAAACTTACAAACATGGAGTCACGATAACTGAATGCCCCTTTAGGTGCACATCCAAATCTACATTATTTCATAACGCACCGGCAGCCCTATGTTAGGAAAATGGAGATCGCATAGGCTCTTGGTTAAACAATTTATGTCTGAATGTATTGCATAATCTGGATTGCAGTAAAGTATTAATAGGCCATAAAGTAGATCAGTTGCATTTCTCACACTGGACAATAACATAATGCCTTTTTTCTTTATAAATACATATTTAAAATTGTGCAGTTTTGCTACCGGTTTAGTTAAGTATTGTGCTTGATGGAATGGTTTTTGTCTTTCATTTTTCTAGCAGTTTCACTGAATGCATTCCTCCCAACGTTTCCTCCAGATTAGGTTTACACAGTGAGTGTCTCTTACCCTTATTAGCTGTCATCAGTGATTCTGCAGGAGTAAACATTTTATTTGGGGTTGAAGTGGACGTAAAGAAGATACTGGGTTCTGGTGTCATGTCTTCTTCAAATATGACCAGAAAAATGAGGGAATAACTTATTAGTGAGAACAAGAGAACAAACAATCAGTAAAAGAGGAAAAAGCAAACAAAACAAAACACAAACAAAAAACCTGAGAAGACCCCCTCTTCTCTCTGAAAACTGAATTGTTGATTAACAGGTTTACATTCCAGACTTTGTAGAAAAAAAAGTTAAATATACATGTATTATCCCTTGACATTTGGTGCTGGGTGTCAGAATAGCATCCTCTAGCTAATAATAATTACTATTATAATTTTAAGTGAAGATTTTTGATGTGATCGTCATTGGTTTAGGAAAGTTGTAAGTAAGCAGATACACACAAGTTGTGTTGTTAATATCTGTTTTTTGTGGAAAAAGGAAACCATCAGATCTTACTCCTGTACAAAAGCAAACTAATTTAAAGGAAAATATGAGATCAGTGTGGAAAGGAAAGAGAATGATACACCTCCCAGAAGGACAACTTTCCAGATATATAACATGCTGCAAAGAAACTATGTGATCTAGCCTTAACCTTCATGATATACAAGTTCAAGTAAAATTCGAAGTGGCCCATCTCAATTCAGTAATTCCCTTTAATAAATGCTGATCACATTTATTCACATTATTAAGGGGCATGTACCATACTGCTAACACAACAAGGACAAACAGTTTTCTGTCCACCTTATTGGCTGTGTCTACACAAGCTGCTGACTGTGCAGTAGCCCAAAACTACTGCACGCTAGCATCAGGTGATAGAAACTGTGACGCAGCACTACTGCACAGTAGTTTTGGGTTCCTGCTCAGTTGGCATCACAAAAAAGCCATTTGTTGGCATTTCTGCTCTCAGGTGCCTCCCCTCGCCCAGAACAAGGCATTCATGTCCTAAATGTAAAGCCAACAGTATAACCTACCAAAGTAAAACTGAAATCCATGTAAAAATGACATGTGAGCACATTTGCACTGTTTGGGTTATATGAATACCTTTCAAGCAGTACAAAACTTTTTAATGCAGAGTATCCATACTTGAAACTCAAGCCTTTTTTAAGGGTGCTGTCAAGGGGAACACCCAAGAATTGAGGCCTGGAAGTTACTAGACAGGGTGGGCAAAATATGGTATGCAGTCCAGATCATTCCCACCAAGTGATTGAATCTGTCCTGTGGGGCATGCCCACCAATTGACTATATCCAGCCCATTGCTTCCCCCATGGCACTCTGCATGGGGCCGAGCCCCATCTGGGGTGGGCTGTGTTACAGTCCAGCCTGCTCCTGCCAGCCTGGCCTAGTGAGCAGCACACAGCTGCAAGCAGGGATACTCCTGGTGCACCTGAAGCCACCTGGGTGCTGCTCTGTTCCTCTTGCCTCCAGCAGCGGCTCCTCCTCCTGCTCCTGTTGCACTGCTGCTGGCCAGGAGAAAGCTGGGTGGCTCCTGCCCCAGCACATGGGGCTCTGGCTTCCACTCCCAGCTGCCTTCCTTGCACTCCACCCACCCTGCGCAGGCAGCCAGGAGCTGGAGCACGAACCCTGTGCACTGGGTCAGGAGCTGTCTGGCTGAAGCTTCTTCCCAGCCAGGAGCGACACAGCAGCAGCAGCAGCAGGAGGAGTCACCACAGCAGGCAAGGATAACAGAGCAGTACCTGGGTGGCTGCAGCCACACCAGGAGCAGCTGCACTGGAAGATGTGCACATTGGCTGAGGCAGAGCCAGTGGGCGTAGGCTGGAGTGTGGCTGAGCTGCCCAGGTGGAAGCATCTGGGGCTTGGCCTCATTCAGAGCACTGCAGGGGCAGCTGTGGACCGTGCTACCTGGGCAAACTCTGCTGCACATGCCCCCTGACCCCTCCTCCTTCTCCTCATTCCCAGTCAGCTCCCACAACCTAGTACTGAGGCAGCACCCCACACCCACACCCACAGAGATGCACCCCTGTCACACACACCCACCCACCCCATGCTGCCCCACAGGGCAGGGGCTGTTCCACAATCCCACACCATGATCCTGGCCTCGCTCACCCGTCTCAGTCCTGAACACTGCTCCTCATTCGCCCGTGGCCCCATTCCACATAGGGAGTTTTAATGAGCTGTTGAGTTTAGTAAATTAATGAGGCAGGGGGGAAGGGGGTGACCTGGCTCGCAACAACTCATCAAACTCAATACCTGCTTATAATCTTACCTGGTAGTTCTTTTCTTTCAAAAGCTGTGAATCAAACAGAAAAAGTTGTCATATGAATAACTTTAGCTATAGTCTTAAAGTAAATGATCTTGTCCAGAATCCTAGGAATGTGACTAATGCATGCAAACTTTGTGAAAGTTTGGCTGCAAATGCAGGTGTGAATGCTGCTTTTCCCATTTTTTATACCTTGGCTCAGAGCCTATCACCCAACATACATTATTTTTTTCCAAAGCATTTCTGTCTGATTCCATCTTCAATCATATAAAATGGAGAGTATTTTATCATGGGCTGATAAAATGATTTTCCTCCTTGAAGAACCTGTTTTGTTATTAGACTACCGTCTTATCAATATTTAAAGTGGGCTGGGTCCTTTTCTACTTAAAGATAAATATTCCTAAGCCTTCTAAAATCCATTCTACCTCCATTTGTCTGCCTTGTGTGCTGCAGAATAGAGTTATGATGCTGAATTTGAACAAGGGGTCCTGATATATGGACCACCATCAACAAACTCACCTAGTTTTTTAAGCCTGATGGGCTCTCCCACTTCTAGCATTAACTTCTAGATACAAGTCTCTGATCTACCCTAAACTGGGCTCAGTGGCTTCCCATCTAAGTTGTGGCATCTACCACGGTTACAAGGAAATAAAATTGGTATTCAAAAGGTACTGAAATATTTACTTGGCTTTAATACTCACCTAACATTGATGGCCAAATAATTACTTTGAAGACATGTACTGAATCACTAAAAGGCTTTCCAGCTTTGTGTTCTAAGTCTGCTTAAGTCAAGCTGATATGCAGAAGTACTTGAATCTGCTCTGCAGATATTAGGTATACAGGTAGTTTGAACGCCAATTTCGACGGAAACACGACAGCAAAAGGAAAATAAAAAGGAAGGCATCTTTCCACAACCTACCTTGATCACAGGGCATTTTAGATTGAGACAGCAGGGAGCCCCAATCAGTTGCTCAGTGGTCCCAGCCTTTGGAGAACACAGGAATGTGGTCCGGAGGCTGGGAGCACCGGCCACCTGTTCAATTAAAGGTGTGACAGAAACCAGCCACAAAGGCATCAGACCTATTTTGTGTAATAACTTTGTCACTTATTCCTGGTTTTTTCATAAGATTAATTGTATGAATGTGTGACCAGGGTACTACTTAATACATGGCTAACCAGTTAATCACATCTAATAAGCCTCATTAGAGTCCTGGCTCCGGTGTGAGACGCGCGGGTCTAAGCCTGCTGTGCCCCCATGAGCCTTGGGACCCCAGTAGCGACTCCAGGACCCCCAACGAGCCCTGGCCTGCCATAGAGGGAGGGACCTAGTCAGCTGGGAGTGGGCTAAGTGGGCCGAGGAGGGTCAACCCCCCCACCTACTTGGCCCAGCCCCCCAGGGAGTTGCGCGACCTAAGCCTCGTAAGGCCACACAAACAGGTGTGCTGCTGGGCCCAGTGCACGAGTTAGTGTGGGAGTTCATGCAGGAGGGTGTGCAGGAGGGCCCGAGGCCTTGCCTGTGAGCCCCCCAGGGTAGACAGTCCCAGCTGCAGTCAGCTCACCAGCGGCACGACTGCACGCACGGGACTGGGCATGCACTGCACCCCAACGGTCCCCTTGGGGTCTACAGCCCCCCCCGGCACCTCAGAGATGGCCACCCAGATGGAGCCCATGGTTCT